CTATAATCGCCATCAAAAACTCATGAGTCTTTAGGACTACATAACAACTTAGGTTTGGCTGTATAGCACCGCTGCATCTGAATGCGAACAATAAGGTGAGCGTTTTTTATCATCTGTATTTTACACTTTAGTAATAATTGGTATCTGGTGATTTTTGTGTTTTAATTACTTTTGCATGACAGCAAAGGATATATAAGTCTATAAGTGGCACAAAATAGTTGTGACCAATTTCTAACCAGACTGGAAACACTGACCGTCTTTCTGACACTTCGTTCTTGAAAAGCAAGAAAAAAAAAGTTTCACAATCAAACGAACGCAATTTAGAGCTAGTGCTTTTTTTGAGAAGAAAGATCAGGGTGGAAATAGAATGGAAACAAGCGGAAAACTTGTCTCCGCACTGCTATGTGAGATACGGTATGCATCCACAAAAAATCAACATTTTGATCAACGGTGATAGATTTCCTATCGCCGTTGATCAAAATGCTAGTTGCGTACTTTTTTGAGGTAAAGGTAGATTAGGCCTTTGCTTGATAAAGTAAGGAGAATATGATTCGAGATGAACTATGCTAAAATGGGACGCAATTGCGACGCATCGATTGTTCATGTACGTTCGTGATTCCACTCGCGTGCAGAAAAATAAATTACGGCCATATGCGGGGTATCGTGCAGTTACACAAGAGAAACATTTTTTCTGGCGATTGTAAACACAGCACTTGCGAACGGACTTGGGGCCCAAGTTATATTGCTTATTAAAATCTCAGTGATCTTTTACAGTATGCCTCCAAGGAAAGACCACAAATATGAAGTGAATGACAAAGTGTTATGCAAACATGGTCTCTACTTTTATGAGGCGAAAATTATCGAGGTGGAAGAGGTCGATGGCGAAATGGTATACTTGGTGCACTATCAGGGGTGGCATAAACGCTACGATGAACGAATCCGTCAATCACAATGCGCTGACTATTTTTTGCCTCTTACGGAAGCAAACATCGCCAAGGCGAAAGCGGATATCCAGGAGGCGACTTCAGCGAAGTCGAAACGAAAACGCGCTAAATTGGAGGATGACGACACGAGAAAGAGTGAGACTGGAAGTCGAGCATCTACACCAAGTGACAGAGCAGGTGGCTTCTTTATCAGCCTGTTCTTTTGAATTTTACTTTTTTTTTCAAAAAAAAAACTGTCATTTTGAGCTTAATGATTTTGTTCACGTTTGATGTCTCCTACAGCATGGACCATCCTATATCTGCTTTCTTTGATATGCTAACGATCAAATCCCAGGATGGCTGCGGCACGGCCATCCATCTATTAAAATCAGCGGCTTTGCTCACACCGGTTACGTTAAGAATGCTTTTACAATTTTAGCATTTGCCTTTTATATCTTTGATGAGCGAATCCTTTGCTTATTCTCTGGAAGTATCCTTTTCGCAGGGCAGTATAGAAAAACAACATCATGTGCAGTTTAGCCATGAAATCTTCCGTTCTTTTGCTGTTGTCCTCCAC